AACGTTTTACGAGTATTTACTCAGGATGGCTTGTAAGCTTAGGAACCTGAGTTCAATTGCCAGTCACGGCGATTGTATTTTTATGGTGGAGAAAAGCAAGAACACCCGTAATACTGCAGATACTTGTGGACGTCAATAACTCCAGGTGGTTTAAATTAGGCCTGCAACACCAGGAGCCTAATAATCACACCCAGGTTTCTGTGCGTGACACCCCAGAACTCGTTATAGAAAAATGTTTCATACTGCAGTTGCCTCTAAATTTAAAAAGGAACGCTCAGTATGTTGCTGACCAGGTCTGAAAAAAAAATGGCACCATATCCACGGAGTGAATGATGGAGAGTGGGGCGAAGAATTCGTCCGTCCATTCGTTCTTGCTTCCGTCCGTCCATGTGTCCGTCAGTGTGACCGTCCATGCGTCCATCAGCCCGTCCGTGCGTGCGTCTGTTCATGCGTCCGTCCCTGTGTTCGTCCATGCAGCCGCCCTTCCGTCCGTTCATGCGTCCATCCATGCATCTGTCTATCTGTTCGTTCGTCCATCTATTCAACACTCCAAGTACCACCATCTCGCATCTTTTCATCATATATTCCCCATATAGAAGCACCACATTCCAAGGACTAAACGAGAGGTGGCACACGCACACTTTCTTACGGCTTGCGCTTCGGGTCCACTTCCCACCTTTAACCGCCTGGAGTTCATGGTATATACTAGTTCACTGTATTCATGGCACTGCGGCCGAACGCTCGCTAAACCTTTCGAAAACCAAGGAGGTTACGCCCAGCGAGTATGACGTAGCAAACTTTTTCAGTCAGATAGGGCTCAATGTACATGCCAATGGCTGCTAATGGGAAGTGAGAGGCGGAGAATTCGGCTTTTACTTTCTTACGGCTTGCGCTTCGTATCAACTTCCCATTTTTAACCATCTCGAGTTCATTCATGGTATATACAAGTTCATTGTATTCATGGCACTGTGGCTCAACGCTCGCTAAACCTTTCTAAAGCTAAGGAGGTTACACCCAGCGAGTATAACGTAGCAACCCTTTCTTGTCAGATAGTGCTCAATGCACATGCCAATGGCTGCTAATGGTGATCGCAGCCTGTGCGTTAACTAAAAGCCGAATGCTCCTGTCTCTCATTCCCCATAAGCAGCCATCGACATCTACATTGGGCACTATTTTTTATTGTTCAACAACGCACAGAAGAAGTCTCTCACCGGCACCGCCTTGGAGGTCAAAATGTTATACTGTTACATACTACGAGGGATGAACGACTGCCGCAATAAGGAGCTTCGCCCTTAAAAATAACTGCTGCGGGTGGGCTACCGGCTTCAGCACTATGCATCCACTACATCCATATTACAATATATGTACTTTGTGGTTCACGTGAGTACAGTCCTAGCTCATCGGTTTACGATTTTTAAATTTGCCTCCAATGCACCTTCACAAGTTGCTAGCAATATTTGCAGCAGCTTCCATGAATGACAACCTGTCTCCCTGCTTATTATAGCAAATAATCAGTGGGGTAATCGCGCGAGTTTCTATATCAAAATTTAGCTTCCGAAACGCCGTTGTAGGTCGCCGTAGTCCAGCTCCCTTGTTTTCTTCCTGGTCTTTGTTCTTCGTTCACTGATATCGACTATTGTTGTACACCCGAGGCCACTCGATATGCGCTCCACGTTTTCGAACACGATTGATAAGCAAAGTAGGATGCATCAAGAAAACCAGACATTAGCCATAGCCACACAAGAAAGGAAAAAGGAAAACATTCACCGTCATCACCACATCTGCATACCAATGCGTGGCCTTCTGGGCTACGTCGCCGTGTGCAACGCGATAGCGACTTTGCCTCCGAGCACTGAACTGCCTGTTGTTCTCCCGGCTCAGTCTTGTTTGCTCTGCACACACGTCTGTGTGTGTGTGTGCTTGCAGAGGGACGTTCTCACAAACGTCGCTTTGCCTGGCAACAAGGCAAGCAAAGTGCCACAACACACTGCTATCTCTGATGCACGTGAGGGATGGCCTGCGCACGTGTGGATGTGGTCTGCCGAGAATGTGGTCACGAGACAATGCAGACCGGGGGTCGCGCGACGCTTGACGTCAACACGTGGCACTGGATCTGGCCGGATGTAACCTGAGGTGGCGTTTCTGTTGTTTAATTTGCGCACAGTACCTCATTGATTCTTTCGTCAATGTTGTTTGTTGTGCACAGTACACGTTAACGTTGATTGAAACGCGAATTATCCTCTTCTGTATTCTTCTATGACCATACGTACTTCTGTGTTAAACGTGCTTATAGCAGTAGAAAACCGGAAACCCCATTCGAGCAGCGGCCATGTCCTCACCCTTTAATGCGCTTGTTTGATTATTTCTTTTCAGGCAACATCCATTTAACGAGCGCGCTAACGAACGAGCTGTCGTTTGCAAACGACGCAGAATGTGTCCTTTTCGCCATGCTTTTCTTTTGGTTATACCGTTTAACACCGCATGCTAACCCGAGGATCGTGGTATCTAATCCCAGTCATTGAACCGCACCTCTGTGTGGTCGATACTTCAAACACCCACACACACACACACACACACACACACACACACACACACACACACACACACACACACACACACACACACACACATATATATATATATATATATATATATATCTATATATATATATATATATACGTAGATTTAAAGAGTCTGGCGGCTTCGGTTGCCGTAGAATTAAGGAAAAATAAGTATACGCCTCTGAAAAACTGTTTACTGGTGACGTTTCGATCGGAGACCGATTTTCATCAGACTCTCATGAAGATAGGTCTCCGATCGAAACGTCACCAATAAACAGTTTTTTAGAGGCGTATACTTATTTTTCATATATATATATATATATATATATATATATATACTCCGAATGAAATAGGGGCTCTCCAGCGGGAAACCTCAGCAGTGCTTATGACGACAGCCGTCTCCGTAGTGTAAAACTCGTTTATTCGAATGATATTCAGCGTTCAGCGGGAATGACTACGTGGGCATCACCCCCGTACGGTGACCAAGTCCAAAAGCACTTATTGCTTCTGCTTTTCTCTTGCACGTTATAAAAAGTTTCGCCCATCAGAATGGATGATGCACACATTATTCGTTAGCCTCTTCACATTATTTATTCGCTTTGCTGTACGGAAACACTCACTATGGTTCTGGCCTCACTCTTCTGAATTTGAAAACATAAATGATGTCAAAAATATTTTTCATTCATCAAAAGCTTTTAACTTTAGTTTGACGCACCAATACAGTATTTCTTTCGTATTCTTCAATCGCCATTATCTGTATAAGAGGAAAGTTCCTAGAAAATCTGAATGAATAGCTGTCAAGAGGTAAGGGTGTTTTTTTTTTTTCGTTGCCCATGGCTCCCGTAGAAACGCGTCCACCGCCATCGCGAGCGGTCATGTAGCCAACTCTCAACTTTTACGGCAGGTTTCGAAAGCACATACAGTTTTGTGCAGACATTTTTAGTGCTCGAACATCTGCGCACAAAGATGGAGGACATTCGAAGGGCTCCGCAAGTGTACTCTTTTATTTTCAATTACGTAAACCACGCGAAAAAATGAACATCAGCAAAAACATTACAAGCACATGTGTTGTTTTCTTGATTGTTTCGCGCTGTTTATTTCGTTCAACATGCAAACCAACGCCAACTGCCCGACGTAAATTGTCATGAAGTGTGCTCTTTTTCGTTGGCTCTGGCGTAACACCTTCACGAGTGACTTCTCATCTATGACGACCCCCTGTTCCTTTCCATTGCTCGACTTTCCTAAGACAGCGTGCATAACGCCCTCTCGGTCAAGCCTTCGTGACGCCTGCGGTATGAAGTATACGTAGCGGTTGCAACGTTCAGAAACTGGTTCTCGCCACCGCTATCGGCGGCGAGCTCGTTTCGCCGGTCGACGATATGAAGCCGGAAAAACGACGCATTCATGATTGATTGCCGGAAGAGAAGCTTTTCCTTCCTTCTTCTGAGAGGCAGCACGCGATGCGACATTGAGAAGCGCGCTCACCGGAAGTTGTCTATATCTCCGTGGGTTCGGAAGCACAAGAAAAGAAAGAGGCTGCTCCTGGGCCAGCTTCAGTTATCCTGAACATAAACAGAACAGAATACCTAGAGTCTCCTGAATGACGGCGGTGGGCTCCAATATGGGACCCACTCGCATAAACGCAGAAATAGCGGCTTTTTTTTCTTTCCGTCACAAAAAAAAACAGGAAAAACTTACTACAGGTGAAAATTTCCTGCTGGTTTTCTGTTGGGAGTTGTTGGTTTTTGATGGAACCAGCAGTTAATCTGCTGGTTTCTTGCTGGTTGTACTGGTTCCAGCAGGGTGCCTACTGGTTTTCTGCTGGTTCCAGCAAAGTGCCTACTGGTTCTTACTGGTTTGCTGATGGTCCCAGCAAGCTACCTGCTGGTTGTACTGGTTCCAGCAGTGTGCCTACTGGTTTTCTGCTGGTTCCAGTGGGGTGCCTACTGGTTCTTTACTGGGACCAGTACCCTGTCTGCTGGCTCTACTGGTACCAGCAGGATGCTTGCTGGTTTTCTGTACTGGTTCAAGCAGGCTACTGGTTTCACCCTGGGATGCTGCTGGGACCATTAGGCAATACCGGACGGTTCTCAGCTGCTTGAACTGATTATAGTGGTGGTCCACTTCGTGGTTTCCTGAGAACTCTAACTAGCCGAAACATTCAATCATGAGGCTTGTATCTTCTGATTATAACTAAGACTTTACTGTACTTGAAAGTGGTGTGCCAATACATTGAGCAATTAAGATGTAGTATAGAGAAATATGACGTAGAGACTGTTTATACAGGTTTCAAAAAACAAAAGTCAAGGGAATTCAAGGCAGTGTCTTGGGTTTTCGAAGGACTAAAGAAGATATCCAAAGAATATTTTTGTGGGTGCTCTGCATTTCAACATTCTGACTAGTTCTAATAAGTTTATATTATAATGAACATAGTGCTTGTGATAGTGAAGCCTTTATTCCACAAGAAGTAGTTCACTACACACAAAAAATGTTCAGATTAGCTGCGGAGACTTTTTAAGCATAAACTAGGCTTTGCTTCGTTGGAGTATACTAACTTAACATGCTGCTCACATGATGGGGAAACCAATTTTGTGGCATAAATGCACGAGACATAGTGAAGCAGAGAGATAAGTCGAGAAAGAGACAATGTACGACAAGGTTGACGTACAGGTGGGGAAATGAACAATAAAAAATGTCGTGAAGAAAACAGTGCAACACCAGAAGGGAGCCAGCACCTAAGCCACAGTAGGTGTCTATCGCTTCATTAACAGTGTTTCATATTTTTAATGCCCTGAAGAACAAAGCATATTGGTGCTGAAATGAAGTTTGGTGAATCTACACTGCTGCCTAAGCACAAAGAAGCAGCTCATAGACAAATTCCTAGACTTTTAGGCTTCGAATATGTTCTTTTTATTTCAATGGTTTTATTGTTATTTAATTTGGAAACATACATGTACAAAGGATACAGAGAAAAAAGGGAGGAATTTTGAAGAGTTGCATGCACCCTGAACACACAAGGTGTGTTCAAATATAAAGGGGTGCTCAAACGTTCCCAGGCTGCTACGCTTGTAATCTTATGACAGCACTGCCTGGGAACATTTGACCAACCCAGTGCACATTAAACCTTGTACTGTACAACAGCGCACACTTTCTCTTCTTTTTTTTATAATACAAAATGTTTACACCCAGAGACAGGGCTAAAGCTGGGCTTAAACAATGAGAATTGTCAATACTCACAATCATGAAGTTTATTAGTAATTCAAGAGGCACTCGACAGTATACAGCATGAATTTGCACAAATTGGCAATAGCTAAATCAATTGAAAATGGCATTTCTCACTTCCTCTAAAAACAACTGTTTCACTGCACAATCCACAAACATCTACACCTGCAGTTCACTGACATGTGGAGGTTCTTTTTAACAGCCCATTCATTTAACAGCTTGACATGCAATGACAATGCGGTGTACACATCTGAGGTTTCTACTCATATCATTGTAATTTAGAAGGTGGCTTGAGCAGTGAATTATTAATAAAGCCACAACACACAAGGAACAAAAAAAACTAATTTTACAGATGTGAAGTGTTTCTGACAAAAAGTACAAAAAGTAGGTATAAGAAGGTATTGGTGCGATTTTTATATGATGAGACCTTTTTATAGAATGATGAAACTAATTCAATGTTGCTCTTAAGCGTCCCTTTAACAACCACCAGAGAGCATTTTCAAAGAAATTCTCTGAAAAAAACACTTTCTATTGACCTCTACATAGTTGCAAGGGACAACACTGGCAGACAGCTCCACTAGCTGTTGGGAATTCGCATCCTCTGATTTCATTATGTGCTCAGTGCCAAATGCACGACGTGACAAGAATTTGTTTGACAGTGCAAAAATCCTTACATTTCCTGACGAATCCCTAATAGAAACAATGTGCTTCAACTTCAAGCACGTTCCCAAATATATTTGCAATACAGTGCTGTCACTTTTGTTCGGCCTTGAGTACTGCTCACTGTGAAACCGAACACCCGGTGATACAATCACTCGGTCATGTTCCATGACACGGCCCCTAACGATGTTGCCAACATGGTCCTGCACAAGGTGAAGCAGCTGGTCAGACACAGCTCGGGGTTTGCTGAGCAGTAAACCACCTTTACTATTTGATGGGCCAGCTTTTGTCAAAAACTTCAGAGTGCAAGGGCTAGCTGAAGCCTTTAGATACCTGAAGTTGCTGGCCATCATTAAGCGCTCTACAATCTGCAGTGGGGCACCTTTTGCTGATGTGACCAGCTGCTTAATTTGGCCAATGTTAGACTCAAAAGCAAAACATGAATGTGCCCAAAGAGGTCCTTGGTTCAGAACACTCTGAGCCATGTGCAACAATTGATGTACATTGAAAGTCATGTTTTTTTCTCCATAGAGAAACTGCATGTCGACAACAAACTTTACCAAGCAGTCTGTGCTTACAGAAATGTCACTGAGGGACACTGTGTCCTGCAGAAGAAGGGCAATACCTTTCACAAGCAATGCAAAATGTTTAAGATACTGCCGTGGAAGTAGGCCTTCCAGACAAGGCAATGAAAAATACAGTAGCCATTGCTGCCACTCCGAGGCTTTCCAATACTTTCTCAGAGAAACTGAGCGGGGAAGTCGTGGCATACAGCTATGCGGCTTTATAGAGCACAAACGTTGATCTAATACTGCCACAGTTTGTGGTGCCCCAATGTAATATTCCTCGCCTACATTAGAGAGCCAGTCCTCCGTCATCTGCCGTGCCACACCTAGAAGCACACAATGCATATAATCTGGAGTAAAGCCCCAGATTATATTAAAGTGCTGAAGATTAATCAAAGGCGTGATGCCTTTTGCTCCCTGTACTGGTCTTCCAGCTTCAGCAGCCTTGGCCATGATTTCCTTTGTGCCTTCTGCTGTCCTGTCAGGTGAAACAGTGTCCACAGGATACTTGACAGTTCCTGTTTGGCAATAGTAAGAAAAAAAACAGAGAACCTCACAAATTTAGAAGTTTGTAAAATCTCGCACAGCTAAGCTTGATTGTAAATGGCACACTTGTTTTCAGTGATATTTCTGAGAATTTACTTCTAGAACACATTTAGAAAAACATACTATGTGCCAGAATTTGGAAACATAGAATCGCTACGACATAAAGCACATTTTTGCCTCTGAGATGAGAAATGGCAACCCCAGATACATTAAACAAGGTGAATGTTTACATAAAAATTGCTAAAAAAGAGAGAAACTCTGATCAACATATCTAGTCAGAAATCTGACTCCATGTTATGCAGTAATGCGACATCTTTACTAACCATTCACAGCTGCCCCTGGATGCAAGCACCATCCACAGCCATAATACCCATTAAACTGGGTTAGGTGCTGCATGGCTGCCCGTGCTGGTGCATCAGCGCTGCAGCTGAAGCAGTACACCTGCATGAGCAAGGACAAAAAAGGAAGCTGTTAGCCCTAACTACCCTCTGCAATGAAGTACAACAAAAAGGAAATGGATAGAGGGCTTGTTTTCTTTGCCAGACACAAGTCAATTATTGCAGTAGACATTGAGGACAAGGAAAAGATCGGGTGATGTTATTAACAGTTTTCAATTGATAACAATCCATTCAGAAGAAGCACTTTTCATGCTTTTGCATAAAGGGACATGATCTCCGTAAGTTGTAACAGTTACAGTAAACACAATGCAGTAAATACCACTTTGACACTTAGATAATTGACAGTATTTAGAGATAAAGTCGCACTAGAAAAGAATACACACAAAGATGAACTAGTGTGCCATCCTCCATGGTGTCATTATGCCCAAGTGGCCTGGATTTCATCATGACTGGAAGAAATTAGCTGGCACAACAATGTAGCCTCGTCTATGCATTGTAGCTCAGTGCAGCATTTACAACTAGAATGTCTTGAAGTCGTGTTGTTCAAGCAGCTTTAATAATTAAAAAAAAATTACCTTGGAATGCACAGTTTCGTTGCCTGCCTTCCATGTGATCCCACTGGTCGACAAACCGTCCATTTGTTCAACAAATGCGTTCAGTAGGAGAGTCATGTCGGGATGTTTCTGGCCATACCACAGAGCAGACACAAGCACATTTTTCTGCCTCATGTACACTGGGAGTTCATTCACCATCACTTGAACGGGCCACACAGAAAACTTCGATGACTTGAACACGGCGCTTCCATCACTGTTAACAGTGAGAGTGATATCATTTTTTGATGTCAATTCGCGCCTAAGTGCCCTGTATAAGGTGCCATCTATTATGTCTGTCATTTCATCTTTGTCGACAGACATACTCTCGTTTATTGAATTCAGTCTTTCGTGGAGTGCAGTGCTCGCATCATTCTCGGCAAGTAACGAAGACAGCAACTTTGCGATGGGCAGGGTTATGAAAAAGTGGCCATCGCGTAGCATCTGCGGCCCACTGTTACGTTGCCCGCATACGGTGCACGTTACCCGCACTGCATTCCGCGCTGCAAGGTCGCCACTTGTTACGGCAAGGAGCGTCATACAGTTTTCACAGTAGAAGTGTAACCGGGCGGCTTTTATTTCTGCCCCGACACTCTTCTTGAAAAGATATTTAGTAACTGGTATATCATGTCGTTCAAGTATGTGCATTATCAACTTTTGGAGTGCTTCGACTCCCTTCCAAGGGATGCCAAATTCGAGGACAAAATTGACAGTCAGTGCCAGCAAATCGTCACTAGAGAAGCTCCCTAAATCTCCCTGTGGCTCGTCTGTCATTTCTGCGCCAACGGAAGGCTGCGGCTCGTCACTTGGGGCCGCTTCATGTGCCGATTCAGAGTCACAGTCGCCTTCAACATCAGTCTGCGGAGGTTGCGTCAGTACGCGAAGTGCTGTCGGAGCAGTCGACCCGCCAGCGACATTTGTGTCCTGCTGCAGTCCACGACGTGATTGTTGCACGCTCGAGGCTGATCTTTCGAGATATGTTTTCGTTGAATACGGGATGGCGGAGGCGCTGCCTGGGATTAGGTATTCCTTTCTACGAGGCATACTCCCTCAGTGCGGATCCACGCAAATATCGCACTGCAAACTCACCGAAAACCTTCTAAGTAATGAAGCCACACGTTGTGTTCACGCGCACAATCACGACAGTTCGCTCATAGTTCGCTCGGACTCGCACATTCTCCATGATCTCACACAATCAAACGACTTGGATTGGCTTGTACGGCGTTGAATTAGTTGGATTCAACGTTACTGCTCCATCCAGTAACGTTGGTTGGATTGCAACCCGGATTTCAAAAACACATATCTATTTAATTATATCTTAGTAAGTTTATACATTGTTTATAACATGAACAGTTTTTACACCTGTTTATAAGCTTATTTAAAGCATTTTTTATTTGTTTATAGGTGTATTTATTTATTTATTTTGTTCCGCACGCAGTTATTGGTATTGCCCAGTCTTGCCGCTAGGAGTTGTTATGGTGTTATTTTTAATGGACACGACACGTGCGCGACACGCGACTGCTACATTTTTTTCAGAGATTGGTGTGTGTGTGATGCCATTTAAGGCTTTGTTAAATCATCAGTACTACCATGTACGCTGTTGTTCGTTTCCTGGACGATCACGACAAACGGTTACACGTCATTCACGTGCATGACATCGAGAAGTTTGATCCCAAAGACACCAGCGACTACGACAACCGCTTTGTTTACAGCGCGTACTGGCGAGACCCCGTGGATGACACAAACACTGGTTTGTACAACACGCAAGTCTTGATGCTGGCAGGTATGTGTGGTATGTGAAATGTTACGGTTCCAATTTTATAGTCGTAATTTCTTACAGAAAGCGAAGATGACGCCCGCGCGAAAATGCGGGCCAAGAGGTTGGTGATACCAAAAATACCTATGCAAGAAACGACGTCAGATGATGATCCTGATGAGCTCGTGGAGTCCCAAACAAAAAGAAAAAAGGCTGAAAGAAAGGTTGCTATTTATGCTGCCTACATTTTGAAACGGCTGAAAACTTGCTGGTCTTGCATTGATCATCATCTGTAATTGTGCTTTCGACTTCTTTCAGAAACAAAAGAACGACAGAGCAAATGCTAAAAAAAACATGTATGACGAAATTCTTAAAAAGAATCTGGAAAAAGCGCACTCTGGGCGTAAACCTAGAGCACAGGTAAGTGTGCCATGGTCTTCATTAGTGCACTGTACTATAAAAGAAGCATTTTTTTTTACTGAAAGCAAAACCCTCATGAGACCCTTGAAGGCTACAGCTAGGGCACAATAAATAGACAGGGACAACAGAAGAAAGCACAAAGTGAAGCGCCGATACTTGTGTTGCTTCTGTTGTTCCTGTCTATTGTGCACAGTAGCCTTCAAGATGCAATACCAACTAGCCCACCAAGCCATCCTAGTGAATTCATGAAGTCATTTTTTGCATGATGAAATTTCAGCCAAGGAAAGGGACAGACACTCCGTCGGACAGCGGGTCCTCCGATAGTGATGAATTGTGCCCAAAAAGTGAAATTCTTCAAATGAAGAAGAAGAAAGACGTGTGGAAGGCGAGAACGAAGGCGCTGGTGGTTAAAGAGCTTGAGAAGGACAGAGACATGTGGAAATTGCGTGCTGAGGAGCTGCAGCACGACAACCAGTTTCTAAAGCAGCAGGTTGCAAGCCTGCAGAGATCCCTTGAAAGCAAGCTTTTCAAGCGTAAGAATGCTTTTTGCTCTGCATTATTTACTTGACAAAAGCTCCATGTATAATGATTACATGACAACTCATGTGCTACATAAAAACTTGTGCACCCTTTTTTTGTGTACATGCAGTTGCAGTAGAACAAGACCGGGTGCCTTGCAGTCGGGGCATGTTGTCAGGTTTGTTTCCCCATAAGAACTGCATACACCTATGCTCTTGAGTAAATGCATCAGTTCCATATTTCACTGGGACAGTAATATAGCATACTTTGACCTGTTTAATGAAGTCAGCTTTTTTATTATTTATTTATTCATATTTTGTCTAAGCAACTCGCTCAGTAGTATGTGCAAAGTAAAGGTTATAGAGATTTGGCTTTACTTGATGAACTTGCCGAACGAGTTCAAAGAGTGCTGCACTTTTTATTTGTTTTGAAAAAGTGCCCGCCAAACACAGCATGAATTAACTTTGGAGTGTAAGTTCAGCTGTTCTGCAGTAAGATGGCAGCTTCAGTCAGTATGTAATATAGAAGATGCTAGTGCCATGATAATGAAATGATGTTGGTTCTTTGAAAGTGGAGGTGGATAGATGAAAGTAAAGTTTGAACTGTAAAACAGAGTAGCCAATCGAGAAAACCTCGAACGAACAAAATTTTTCCTTGGTATGGTTTATCGCTATGTTACATTGTGATTTTTGGTTTGAAAGTCCGAAGTGAATTGACTTGGAGATGTGCACCTCATCGTAGCTTTTAGAAGCAGCCAATGCTCTAAGGCACGCTCTGACTAGCATGAAGCTTTAAACAAAAGCATCCAGATTTAACAGGCTTGAGGGGTTGAAATCTAAACTTTTACACCTGAATCATTTTTATTACAGCACATTCTGAGACAGATGAAGGAGAAAGCTTCGTCGGAAGTGAGTACTTTGCTTCTTTTATAATACTTCCCTGCATTTCAAAACTGGAGTGACAGTTACTGTCACTATATCTTTGTAACTTTAGATCTGTTGATTATGGACAACATGGCCTGCAGTGAACGTGTTCTCCGTAAGTAACAGCTCTGGTTTCATAGACAGTAAACTTTGTTTCAATTAGAGCAAGTTGTGCACCAAGATAAGCCATTTTTGAATAATTCTAAATGTTGCGTAGCACCGTGCTCATCTACTGCTGTAGAACCAGAGGAAAGGACAAGCACTGTTGGTGGAGAAAAGAACACTACACATCCAGGTCAGCTCAGATGTCACCTCAGATATTCTGACAATAATTTTTTTTTTTTTGTGCCATGACAAGGACCTGATATCTTTCTTGCAGGCCCAAATGGAGATTTCATTTATATGGAAGATGGCTCTGTAAGTAATTTGCTCGAAATTTAATGTCACTGTCTGCAGCTGCTTTTCATGCTTAACCGTTTTTTTTTTCTATTGGTAGTCACAGCTACTCTATAGATCTAGGTGGTATAGTTAATTACGAAAGCTTTCTTAAAGCTTCTTGCTTGCAGCATGTTTACCATTTTTATTTTTTTAGCATGCTCAAGTCTTCAGTTTTACTCAGTGTACTTTTTGAGAGAAGTATGAATACCGTTGGGACCAGCACACAGTTTTTCTTTTTATTATCAGCAATAGCAAGGTGTACAGTGCTGATCACACCTGTCTTGAGCACCTGAGCAGTGCTGTGTGGATGAAATATGGCAAAATTCTAAAGCAGATACTCAATTTCACTGATACTTCTTGCATTCATGTGCAGTTGAATATACTAGATGAACCGCACAGGCTCAAAAGCATTGTCTCTAACAGAGTAACCAATAACATTTTACTGCATTTGATTTGCAGCACACCACTTGTGCACCATAGACAAGTGTGATAGACTGTACATACTATTCATGTGCTACATCGTTGTGTTGTGCCAGGTGCATTGGTTAAACAATTTGTTAGTTTTGTTGTATGTTTAGCAGAAGTAACATGCAGCATTTTTTGTTTCATTGCTCCTTACAGTAGGGATTTTCCTCCATTATTTTGCTTTTTCACAGTTCCATTTGACGAAAGGCGTAACAATAAGTGGTGTGTGTGCAAAAAAAATATTTGGGAACAAGAAGGCTACCTTGGTGGTGAAGGATGCTGCCCACGCTATATGGGGAAGCAACGTTCTTGCATCTAGGAGCGTCACAGGGACCGTTGGCTCCAGGAAGAGAGCATTGGGGGAGCAGCCCAAGCAGCCGCTGACACCGGAGAAACTTCTTGTTGTGTCAGGTACAACTAGCATGAATAGTTTTCCACAGCGCATGCAGGAAGTCATCTTTACACAGCCTGGCAGCATGAACGAAAATGAAAGAGTGAAATTCATGCTGTTTGCTTTGCGAGTTGTCAAAACAAAATTTTGGTATATAGGGTGAACAGAAGTTGCACTTTGTACTGGAAATATGGAAAGATATCTCTGAGTTTGGGTTAAATTTGATGGGGTGCATGGTAGGCTCCTATGCTCAACTGACAATCTGTTGCACATGAAACTGTGCACCAAATTTAACTGCCATCAGCTGCCGAACAGGACAACTTGGGTTTTGTGGAGCTTGTGAAACTAAGTCATGCACATTCCTAATCCAGTGATGTCGGAGCTTTAGTGCTCAAACCCAAGCTCTGCCTCTATGGTGTGGCAGTTGTCGTTGCCGCAATCACTACTTTTTGTTGTCTAATGCTCAAAATCGACTCGTCTGTTTGTAGAAACACTCAAGCACTGGGGACAGCAGAAAGACGTCAACACTGCTGACACGGAAAAAAATCTGCCCAGGATCCTGGCTGAGAAGATCCAAGATCTCCTGAAATCGAAAGTGCGCAAGCAGATGTTTGACGATCAAGCACAATAAATTCTTAAACACTAAGGCTGTTTGTTTAACGCCCAATGCATGCTGTTAACTTGGCACAGGAATGTAGAACGTGCAAGTTACAATAAGCACTGACTTACTAATCGAATGGCACAACCATCTGGATAGCCATAAAAGTTATGTGCTTGTAACCCTAAAGTTGCTAAATTGGGCAGAAACATGCATTTGAGTTCGTTTGGGCACCACCTTGTTGATTGGGGGCGTCCTCCATCTCGGTGAGTAACAATTTTGTTGCATGTATGCAACCCTGAGCTGAAACCAGTAGCTGCTGGTTTCGGATACTGGTTTCAGTGACTGGTTCCATCAGCTACTGGTTCCATTACCTACTGGTTCCAATACCTACTGGTCCCATCACCTACTGGTCCCATCACCTACTGGTCCCATCAACTACGGGGAATGTGCTAATAAACCATCAATACTGGAACCAACAGAAAACCAACAGGAAATTTTCACCTGGGTGGTTTCACCACGGAAGACACAAAAGATGGCAGGCATATTTTCTATGATTGGCTTATGCGGAAATATGGGCTAATCTGGCGCGACTGTACAGAACAGCTTTGGCGCGTTTTTAAGAAAAAAACTCCCAAGCATTTCCCCGAGGGTGAACATGGTTAAGTGCGGATACACGGGGTGATGCAATGAGGGGGAGTGAAGTTAAAATCCGTTGGCATGCGCAAGTGAGTTACCGTAAACTCCCCCGTGTGATCACATTGCGATTCCCAGGAACCATTAGACCCTCTCGGGAAATCTTGGTGAGTTTACGCGTATATGTGAGAGTAAATTCGCACTATAATGATGTTTATGTCCACGGCCCGCTTGCGCTCGGCATCACGGGCCCTTCGCCGCGCTGCCTTGTCTTCAATCGGCGTGACATCTTCAACGACGCGTGCAATGCTCGCATTCGATTGCGTTGTACTCGTTGTTGGAGGTATCGCAGTCGAGGTTGATGGCTGCGATGGATCCATACCTATGACGACTTCCCGATCTCGAGCAAGTCGTGGCTGCGCGATCGCGCGCAGGCACGAAGTGGAGGGCGGAGCGTGTGCAATCACGTGGTGTGTGACGTCGCTGCGTTGTTGGTACAGATGCTCCTCTCCGCTCCTCGTTCTGTTGCTAGGGGAGAGGAGGAGGCACACCACCACGGAGGAAGGAAATGGTAAGGAGAGGCCCTGACGTCACTCGTTGTGAAGCCGCAATGAAGCCGGAAGTCGGCCATATTGAGTAGGCAAATTCTCCTCTCTTGTTTACATATGAATGCGAAGCAGAAGGCGCGACTCCCTCTCCGGCTCGGAAAGCACGTGGGCTGCGCAGCGCGTGTGTCGTGACGATCCGAAACTAATGGAACGGCGCTCATCACTCTGAGCCAGCGGGACACCTTCGGCGCAATCATTTCGTCCGAGTAATAACAGGGAGTAACGGCTCGCCGACAATTCGAAGCAACTACAAGAGAACGCGCGCTAGATGCACTGACAACGGCGAGTGCTTTCACGTCATTAATTCAGCAACTGTACAGACAACACGATCGGTCGTGCGCCTTCTACGGTTGCATTCCGCCACGCGGCCGACGCAGCGTCCTGGCACTGTGTCCGTGTTCCGCGTGAAACTCACCGGCGTCAGCATTCTGCGACCGTGGTAACTTGGAGCACGTTGCAAGTGACACTTGAACGAGGTTCCTATTACGTTGAGATTACATGCAATGCTGGTGGAGAGTGTACCAAGCGGAACAGAAAAGGTGTTTTAATACGCACATGCAAGTTGTTACTGTACACACACAACACGAAACTACGTATGTGCACATGGTCCTCACGGCGTCTTGCTGGGCTCAACAACGTCGTCCGTTGTCACAAGCAGGAGCACTGCTCAACCGTCACTGACCTGCAAGGCGTTCGTCGTCATTCAGCTTCGTCATGGTGCCCAACGCCATTTCGCTGAACACTAACTGCTTCATCCGCGTCATCCGCCGCACGACACATGGATATGCACTTGTTCTACGCACTGTTGAAACACCGTGATGGACAACGAGATTTGTAAACGTTGCTAAGAGTAATGTAACAGCCAGACGAACACTGCGTAACCAATAACGCGGCGCAGAGCACAGATATTGTCCGCCACGGCTCAGCACGAGACCTGGGGAGGCACACATTCCGCCGCCAGCCGCGGCCGCTCACTGCTAGACCAGCTTCACTGTGCAACACGTAACCATAACAACGCCGCCATTGTGCCTACTGATTATGGCCGCCATGATGTCATTTCTGCCACATTTTTTACGCCCTGCGCCGGCTGGGCATGCCCTCTCCTTACCTTTTTCTTTCCTCCGTGCACACCACAGTCAGCGGATTCAGGGTTGCTTATAAAGTGCATTCGCACTTGAAGTTGGCCCCGTATCGGCATGTTTCACTGCAAATGTCGTCGAAAACGATAGTCCTGCGTCTATTTGATGTTTATTTCATGTTCGGCGCGAGAAAATTAGTGCATTGTATTCTGGAGGCGCTGCGTTAGAGAGTCTCGATCCGTGCAGCGAAGGCGAATGAGCGCATCGAGGCACGTGCGACACGAGCGCTATCTGGCGGTTATCTTCGAAAATGAAGGAAGGCGTGCGCCCCCGCGGAGAAAGATGTGCGCCTCGCGTGTCTTGGAGGCGATTACGGAGTAGAACGCAAAGAGACGGGCATACGCGTTGGAAACACTTGCCTTTTTGAGCATCGCGTTGCACTGCCAGTGCAGCGTGAAAAACGCTATGGTCCTTAGAATTACCTGTATGTGACTTCTCTAGTATAAAGGCACACATACAAAACATCGACGTGCTGTTATGGTGCCTCAGATATGCCCAATAATTCCTTCCTAATTGACAATCGCACAAGTATGAACGCTGAAACTTGAGCAATATGGGTGGGCGCTGCCGATGGGGTTGGCCGTTTGAGGTATCGTTTGAATGCCGCTTGGGGTATCGTTATCACAGACAAATAGACAAATGTACAGACAGACCAAAATTTTGGCGTCGAAGGTCCCCAAGAAATACTATCGTCTTTAAAAAGAGGCATTCAGTGGTAGTGCGTGTAGCGTAGGAGTGCCTCCGGTATTTTATTTTTCGGACACATTTTCTTGCTGCTGTTCAAAAGTGCGTGTATCCTAAGAAGAAATGTCATTGCGGTCTTCCTTAGTTTAGTAATTTTAAACAGTCAGATATTGGCATAAGTTGTAATTCCTTTATCTCACTTTGTACCAGAGGCACAGTTTAACAATGGTAGTTAGCTGGAAGTACAAGAGGTCGTGAATGCTTTTCCGGAAGCACCGTAACTCTCCGCTATACAAGTGAATCTGATGAAATTGTATTGCTGGAATAGACACGTGCTCGAGGCAATGTGAGACAATTTAGGTGGTGACGGTCACTAAACTTTATTCTCATCAGTACAATAATAGGCAGCCACTTCCAAGTTGACTACGTCTACATGATCAGACTCTGCAAATAAGTAGGAAGCTTCACTAAGAAGGAAAGTGTTCATGACCCAAAGTTGGTTCTCGCAGCAGTCAAACATACCTGCCAGACATGAACGAAGCTGTCATCGTCTCCATGTTTTTGTCTATTTTGGGTGCGCTTGTGTTGTCAGAGTCATCTATGCCTTAACGCTAAACGAAAGGAGCTGTACTTAGACCTCTCAAGGTACTTTTGATATCCTTGTTGTATTCTTGTTTAGCGTATCCGACTTCGTCTGAAGAACGGCGGGATAGAATCTTTGTTTAGACGAATATAGCTTTAATTTATTTATATAGACAACAGCGGGCATTTTATTCTTTTTTAATTAAACATGCAACATTTCAGAGGATGTGTTGTCCTAAACAATATTACTCGAAGGTTAGTGAGTTTTCAAAATTCTTATCACCATCGTTAATTTCGCTCGAACCCATACATTAGTAGATCATCGCGCTGGATGAAGAGGCCGTAAATTTTCATATGTTTTAACACCGAATGCACTGCGACTAATTCAAATGTTTTACCGCAATGCTTAGTCCATTGTTTTTAACGAAGTAGCGTTTTTTCATGTAATTAGAGCATAAGTTTTTTTTTTCCTTTGTACGTTCGAGGCACAAGAGCTCGTGAATGACAGTCAAGCAGAAAACTGAATGGCACTTTCAATCTAATAACTTCATGTAAAGCAATCACTTGCAAGCGGCATTTACTAATTAGGCTTCAATGGAGCGCGGCAAGGAACGTGAAGACCAGAACTAAATTTACAATGACACACCGCGCAGAGAACCTACCACATTGTAAAAAGTAAGGGTCATGCAGTCAGCAAAACAACAATTTCTCTGCATGACAAAAAAAAAAAAACAAACCTAATCAGCAGCATGTATACGTTTGACTTCCTCTTTTGCGCCTGCGCAGTCTTCTGAGAGTAATTTTTCTAACTGCATTGCTCTGATTCCTCGACATGTCATCTGCGCATGTTCACAAGGTTTATAGCAAGTGCTTAAATAATTTGTGTATTTTAATGAATCAGCAATTGAGAGTCAGCTTGTCATTCGTTTGCGCGCTGTATTCTTTCACCATCCGGAAGTCGGACACACGTGAGCTGTCAACGGAAAACATGTCCTTATATGGCGATTGAACTCGGGACGCTGTCTACTTTTTGGTGCGTCGCACGTAACCACCTAACGTTTGTCACGCATGTTAAAATAAGGTCAGGTCAGTCTAGGTACGTCGAGAGCCTGTAGAAGGTGGCTTGAGCACTGGATGATTTATATTTATTTCAAAGCCAGCCAACGACATTTATTTCAACAAGGAATCGAAGATTATTCTAAGTATACCCAAATATCCTTGTATTCCAACTTGTTAAGCTTCTTGCAGAGTGACAGGATGTCACCAAATGCAGAGTATATGTTCTATCTTTCTGTTCTTCACTCGCGCCTCTTTTTTCAGCTTTCCAGCGAAGGTGAGTTCCCGTGGAGCCCGTGGACGCAGGGTGTTGTGCTGGGTGCCTTCTTCTACGGCTACGCAGCCACCCAGATGCCCGGAGGATGGCTGGCTGGACGAGTAGGGGGAAAGTGGCCTTTCGGACTCGGACTACTGGGCACCGCACTCGGGTCCCTGGTGACGCCCGCCGCCGCACGTGCACACTCTTCATTCTCTCACGACGCCGGAGCCGCAGCCCTGGTCGCAGTGCGAGTGCTCGAGGGACTCGGCGAGGTAACGAGTTCGATGGCAGCGTATTCTACGAAGCTAGAAGAAATGTACTCAAGAAAAAGTGCTAGCTGACCTAGTTGGAACAAATTCACGGCAGTATTTTGCGCGGAACGCATGGGGAGACACGCGGAAAAGCGAAATCTCGGCCTACCACGCAAAGTACTTCAATAAAAAGTGTGTGTCGGGAGCCTACCTTGCACAATGATAACCGTCATCTATGTTCACAGTAAGAAATAATTAAGTATTTGGGGAGTTTGATTACGTAAGAGTACACTTATTTCAGGCTGTATTGAGAGCCCTCCAAATATTTCTAGTGACCTGCATGCACACTGCCTTTATCCTCCACTTAGTTCCTTTTCACCTCAACCCTAAACTCACTCCATGCTTCCTCGAATATTTTTGGCACGATACACGAGTCCTTATCCCAATGTACGTGTGTCGTAGATACTCCTACACTAACACATAACCTACAGCTGTCCAGAGTGACCTGTCACAGTCGACATAAGGCATACGCAGGTGGTTTTTATTATTTTTTTCTTGTCTTCTCGTGTATGGGAAGAGAACCAATGTAGTATTGTTGTACCCGCTATTGTAAGTGTTTCGCTGTTGTGCGTATCGTCCCTGAAGATATTGTATTTCCTGTACTTTGTATCTACTTGGTTACCTCTGATGATGTATGCCCGCTTCCTGTATGTGTCTGAAGAAGGCCTACAGTATTGTTAAATAAATAAATAAAATACAAACGAGGTTGGGGGCGGCGCGACTCGCTGAATGGACCCTGGGAAGCCAACTGGTGACTCTGGGTCAGGCCCACCAAGCCGCTATAGACAGTGAAGCCTTGGAAGAAAGGCCTCATCCGCGATGAACCACTCTTTTTTTTTCGTTTTAAAAATTTGTCTTTCTCCCCTTCCTCTTACTAGGGCGGATAAAGTCGTGCTTAGAACAGTGGCATGCTGTGATGACAGAAGAATGAATCCCAACATCAAAGCTTAAGCTTTAGTAGCATCGGGTGAGCATTCTGACGCTACGTGCATCTGGGTAGCGGATCCCAATAATAATCTTCCGAGCAGCCTGGTGTCATATGGCCACCGCCGGTGACGTTTGCCTCAAGTGACGCTTAGGTGACATTTGGCTTAAAAGAATGCAGTGCCGCTTGCTGCGTGTCACGTCGAACTAAATGGCAGCGAGGAGGAGGTTGTGCGGAATTATGCGCAGAACATTCGCCCCAGAAGACTTCAGGCAGAGTGGACTTTACACTGACAATTATCTCTTACGCGGGACTAGTCGCATTCACTAAGTGCTACGTGTTCGTGCTGCTCCATTCCAGTGCTGCGAGCACAATGATATCTGTAACCCCCGAGCAGGCTAAGGGTTGCCGTGGGATCCCTCTGTCACCTTTTGTAAGCCGGGCTTCGCTACAGTGGCGCAACCAGCTATCACCGCTAGATACATGAGAACCGATGTCACAAAACAGTGTTTCGCTTCATACGCAACACCAGCCTAATGGCGCAAACGTATCAAGCATATCACGCGAATTATTGTGCTTATAGGGGCGAGCCTTCAACGCACAAAAAGAAAAATTTCACGCAACTATCTAATCGTGATTTACCCTGTTTTCTTTCCTTGTATTTTGACCATGGTTCCAGTATACTTTCCTATCACAAACGGCGTGCGCGTTATTGGCGTGACAGCCCTCTTGATAGGAAAGTGGCGAGCCCACACTTTTCAAGATTGGAAACGCGAGTAAGCCAGAGGACGATACTGTTTCGTGGCAGAAGTACGAACCGAATACTCGTATTTATTTATTATTAGAGAGTGGTATGTTTTCCTTTCATTGTCACAATGAACCACGATATTTCTCGAATTTCGCAAGTGTGGGATACCACTCTGAAAAGAAAAAAAAATGGAGCGAGTGCATAGTTTTATGAAAAAAAAAACGCAAGCTAGGCAGATGTAGAATATTGTTCTGCGAAAATACCGAGACTCTCCTTGTGTGCTCGATTCACTTAGATGGTTAAAATAATCAGTCATTCAGGAGTGCGAGGAAATCATAAATTTTGCACAAGTTGATGCCCTAGCCACGCAAGGTTGTTAGAAGTATCAGCTAAACCTGCCGTTTATAGAGATCCTTGTGCTTAAGACGGAGTTTATGAGGTGGAGTGATTCATAGAAATACAAGCGACGTGTAACTATACTCTCTGCGTTTCGGTGACGACGTAAATCTGGTGCTGCAGGGCGTTACGTACCCGGCCATGTTCAGCATGGTGGCCGAGTGGGCACCACCGCACGAGCGCGGGTCTCTGCTCGCTGTCGCCTACGTCGGAGCCAACGTCGGTGCCATCTTGGCCATGCCCGTGACGGCCATGTTGTGCGACACCATCGGATGGGAGGCCGCCTTCTACGTCTTCGGTGAGCGCTGAAAGCCCCGTCTCAGACGTCATCATCAGCATCGTATCTTTGACCGCACCAATGCAAAGTGTTAGCAATGGTATGCTTTGGCCTCAAATAACACACACACAAAGTAGATAAACATTCAACGACAAGCACAAGTGGCACTTCCAACTAAAGTAGACCGGGCGCTAATCCAGACTTAAGTAACAAAATACAGACATGCGCAGTCTTCACACAGCCTTACGCTATCCAGTTGAGTGTTTCTTTACTTCGCGTGAGCGTTATTTTAAGCCAAAGCATGTCAGTAAGCAAGTACCAACTAGGCCAACAATCAGTATTGTTAGCAATGTTAATACTAATATCAGGAGTTGCACGTCCCGAAACCACGATGCCATTATCCGAGACGCCATAGTGGCGGCTCCAGGAATTTCGACCAAGCGGTGTTCTTTAACGTACGCTGACCTCGCACAGCACACGGACCACTATTTCGCCTCCAGTGCTCTGCGACCGCCGCGGCTGGGATCAAACCCACGACCTTCGGGTGAGCAGCCTAGTACCTTAGCAATTGCTGCACCGCGGCGGACCCTGCAGTGAGAAAGGTTGTCCACGTCAATGCAACCACAGCCGTTTTGCGCGAGCCGCCTTTTCCCCATACGTGCGAATTTCCTTGTACCACTTTTCCTTCTCTTCGTAGCATGATGACACTACTGAGTGACTTCATCGGTCGGTAAATGGTGGGCTGATCTCGGGAGCGGTGCAACACGTCAGTTGCAGAAAGCTTCGGCGTGGTGGCACGCCTTTCTTACGGGCTTCGCAGTGATGCTAGAGATTTATCCCTAGACGTACAGATTTGGTGTCTTTCTTTATTAAAATTTGGAGTTTTCTTGAGGCTCTGGAAATGTCACATTACGCGACCTTATTAAAGGCGTTAACCTGTAATCATGCTCTTTCAAACATAAAAGCTATAAAAATTGATTATTCTGGCTATTTCGTGGCTTTTTTTTTTCAGTTTAAGACAGTCTTTGTGTTCTGATGGGCCGTGCGACAAAAATAGCAGTTCTAGTATGCGAGATTATTATACGTTGAATACTAATCAACTCTGCAGTAGTAATAACTAAGCACGCGCCTATCAGGAGCTCCCGAGGGGTTTTCTCACTGTGAAACAAAGACAAATTATGTCTTGTAAGGCACATGAACACATGTCAAGTTTACATTCACTGCGTGCCTCCGCCGAGCTATGTCTGCATGTAAATAACCGGGAAGAATAGAGTGGACCAATGTGAAGGTAGGACTGAGGAATTCGTAAGCTGGTACGGGTTGAGTATTGCGGAAATGGTGAGATGAAAAAAGGCATGAATACCGTTCGAGTGTTTCAGTCTTTCCGTCACGCCCTTTACGTGAGAGGAAAAAAGTTACAAATACATTTGGCCAGCCAAACGTAAAAAGAAAAGACTTAGCTATCAACCAGTAATTGATCACCCACGTGCTATCGGCAACCGATGAAACGCGAACAGAGGAGCACGTGACCAAGCATTATTGCAAGTAATGCGCGCGCCGTCCCGTTATATTGGCTGGAAGTAGTTGCGCTCATGCAGCACTACGCGATTCAAATCCAATATTTTCGCCTGTGTTTCTGCTCTTCTACAGTGATAATGCTGACCGGCCTGTTCATGCTGCACACCTTGAGTCACTTCTGTTTTATTTTATTTTATTTATTTTACCCTGAACACTTCGTTTCGAATATCATAAATAGAAAAGACGTGAAAATAACTCACGGTAGCGGGGTCGCGCACTGCTGCCATACCGGTTGCGTGCACCTGTAAATGGTGATGACTGGTCTGCGCTCATTCTACCTTTGCTGGTGCTTTATTCACATGCTCCACTGATCGCATTTCATTTGACGTCGATAGTACGTCTATTCAAAATATTTCAACAGCGATTGCAAGTGTGGAAAATTATAAATAATTAATTTATAGGTGGGATTTAACGTCCCAAAACCACCATATGATAATAATAGATGTCGCAGTGGAGGGCTCCATAAATTTCGACCACATAGAGTTCTTTAACGTGCACCCATATCTGAGCACACGGGACTACAGCCTTTTCGCCTCCGTAAAATGAAGAATAAACCACGAGCTTACAAACTGCATGTAAAATACCTGAATGATCTCGTCCATGTCTTCAATGCGTGCGCACAGTGAACTTGATATGGAACTCTGTCTCTGTGGCAACTTGTGTTATTTGCAAGCACTCTATATGCAAATCTACATAGCGTCTATAAGAAACACCTTGAAACGTATTTTAATTGATTGAATGATATGTGAGAATTAATGCCCCAAAACCACCGTATGACTGAGACGCCATGCATAGTGGAGGGCTCCGGAAGCTTCGACCACCAGCGGTTTCTTAACGTACACCTAAATTTGAGCACACGGGCCAGCAGCATTTTCGCCTCCATCGAAAACGCATCTGCCACAGCAGGGATTTCATCCCGCGACCTACGGGTCAGCAGCTGAGTACCTTAGCAACTAGACCACCGTGCCGGGGCTTAAAAGGCCTTTTCTACACGTTTTTACTTATAAAACAAGACTCAGAAGAACTTGGACACACAGCGCACTATCTTAATACCTATGTTGGTAAGATTTATTAGCCTTAATATTGACATAAAAAATATAATCTGGGCCTAACTCTTGTAATCTAGGGAATTTCTGAAAGCCAATCTAGGAATAAAACATTGTCTTAGGTTGACATCACTGGTGGTTCGTCACGTCAGTCGGGTTGGCGTGCGGAATTGACGCGGTCGTGCATGGCAAGCAAAGGCCGATCGCTCAGTGTAAGCATGACTTAGGAGCAACGCGCTTATGAAGAACCGAGACAGAAGCGTACCCGGCAAATCCACTGGTCACAGCTTCATTTGCTTAATAAGATACAGATATGGCACTGACAGAGTGAACAACAATCACTTTGCCTCTAGATATAGTAAGTAGTGGCGCTGTGCTGTCACGTATCTTGAAACAAAACTTAATGCTGTCTACACTTCAATAATTGTGCATCTGGGAATAGTCCAAGACGATTGGCGCTATCCAACTTCCTGCGCAGGCGAAAATGCCTCAAGGTCCTCATACTTTGGCATAAAAAGTTACGCTCTCCGAAGGATGCAACCTGCCCTAGCTGCTGCCTTAGGCGTATTGTAGGTGACGTGATTAAAGTTTGCGTATCCTCCTTTTCTCTTCGGTGTGTGGTCTAATAAGTGACTAGATTGATTTATATGTGAGGTTTAACATCCCAAATCCACCATATGATTATGAAAGACGCCGTAGTGGAGGGCTCCAGAAATTTCGACCACCTGGCGTTCTTTAACGTTCCCCCAAATCTGAGCACACGGGCCTACAACATTTCGGCCTCCATCGGAAATGCAGCCGCCGCAGCCGGGATTCAATCCCGCCACCTGCGGGTCTGCAGCCGAGTACATTAGCCACTAGACCACCGCGGCGGGGCAATAATTGAGCAGATAAGCTAGCTAAAAATTATTCGGAGAATATTCGATTTTATGAACGCTCATTAGGGGGCGAGTCGAACGGATTGGTACATATGTTCAGATTACTGCAGTGCTCTAATCATACAATGACAACCACTGATTTTTCTACGCAAATAATCGCTCGTACTTGTCATCATGTGTTGTGCTTGCTTGTTCGGAGAGCTGCGGTTATTCGAACATATATGCTGATTATTTTAGCGTGCACAAACCATAGTGGAAAATACTGACTGCTCTGAATTGGAAGGAACAACAATTGAGTCATTGCTCAAGGACAGTTTTCCACCCTTGAGCAATGTATAGGTAGAGGGGCCTTTGCCAGGCAGTCGTATTTGCCTTACGCCCCTTCAAACTATACAATGACTGTCTAAATAAGGTTCAAATTCAATTCAAATTTCTTATTGAAATGTTGCGAATGCTTGTCCCACATGTTTGACAGTAACGCTTAACTGTACCTGTTGTCGGTAGTGAACGTCAAAGCTAACATGCTGGACGCAGGACGTATTCTTATTCTAATGATTTTCGTTACCGGTACTGTCTCCCCCTTAAAAATCAAATATCTCGGAAACGACGACTGCAACCATGACCAACACCTCCCCCCCCCCTCCACCTAAATCACCGAACAGAAAAAAATTCATTTGTCCGCTTGCTGTTACAATCAGGCCAGCGATAATGAAGAGTGCGCAGCAGAAAAGCGTTATTCCCCAAACTACTGAACTGCGGTCTTTGTAGTGCTAAAAATAAATGCCATTTACATTTACTTCATGCAGTATCCCCTCTCGAAATAAAAATGGCAGTCATGTTCTGTCATCTGTTTGTTAAGTTACATTCGGTGTCTCAGATGATAATTTTGGAGCATTAACTTCGATGACGTGCATTGGCCACACAAACCCGTACAGTAGTAGTTCAAATGACGTACACGTAAATACATCATAGTTATCCACGTTTTAAACGGCGCCACTGAAAAAAAAAAACTGATAATTGTTTTCGCAAGGCTGCTCTTTCGCGTTTCTCTTAGCCGTTTGGCGTTTAATATTGAGGTATCATTAAGCTTTTGTAGAAAACAATATAGCAAAATAGTAGGAGCTGCGTATTTCAAGGTCCAACAAAATTTTGTATTAACTGAGGCACCGTGAGGCTTAATACTTCATGTCTGAGCACTATTTCCACAGCAAAGTGATGCATCTCCTAGCTGCAAACACGGGCACCTTAGTTTATTTGAAGGGAAGGCAATTGAACTTTCACTTGTTATCTCTGACGATGTCGTCGTTGCGCAGGCCTGGTGGGATGCGCCTATTTTGTGCTGTACGCGTGGCGAGTTCGCAGCACGCCTGAGGAGGATCCTTGGATTAGCGATGCGGAGTACGACTACATCGCCCTCGGACGCACAGCTAGGCCTTTGCCACCATTACAGGTACGTGCCAGGCCGACCACCCTGCATACTTTGTAGATTATTAGGGCAAGTGCAGTATGGTACAGCGCAAATGAGACAAAGGTTTTGAAGCCATGAAACTTTGCAGCTGAGCACTGCACGCGAAGACTCGATTGGTTTACAAATCATCTGATCAAACTTACAGTGAAATCAGCCAGAATATCCGGATTCAACACTTCATATTGTAAATTAGGTGGAGGTATAAGGTAAGCTACGTCGTGGGTTCTACATATATTTAAGAGGAGTCTACAAGCCCATGGTGACTTTACAGATACACTGAATTAATGAAGAAAATGAAATGGCAAATGGCAGCGAGATTAAGCACAAGAGTGGTTGGCTACACTGCGCTGGCTGAACGTGAAATGAACGTGAGTTGATCCCTTTTTTAACATTACTCAACTGCCAAAAAAATTTCATTGTTTTAACCGATAAATGCTTTAAATGAAGTGGAAGAAAAGAGATAAATATTGGTATGGTAGGCTGTTGCCAAAAAACTAACGTAGGATGGGATAAACGACTAACTTTTGTCACAAAGATTCCAGAGTTACCGATTTTTCGGACATGTTTGAAAACTTGGATGTTTTCATGGGAACTCTTCAAGCCCTATAAAACCAGTGTGTAACAACGTTTTAGGTTTCAGATGCTGAAACTCTTCGAAGTCTCCACTTTTTGCTATAATTCCATATTTCCATAGAAGCCACCGCTTACAGGAAAAGTCTCGCACTGCATGAAGAAGTCTTCAAACGTCTTTTGAATGGTGTCGGCATGCTAATCAACCCCTTCACGAACCCCACTCGCGAGGATTGGCAAGCAGCCCTGCTCGGCTGTTCTCCTGGCCAACCAGAAGGCCCTGGTCCACCAAGCCCAAGTCGCATTGGTCGCCTTTGGGGATCTGTAAGAAAAAGCCTACCTAGTGTTTATGACGGGTGGCCTGCACTGAGCCATTTCTCGCCTGCCCCGGGCATATACATGTAATTAAGATTTTTCTCTGGCTCTCCCACACCGTCGTGGGTATATTACGTCCGTTTCGCCGCATTGTTAGTGTGCTCTGCAGAAAAGCATACTAATAATACGAAGGAGCTGGGTGTTGTAAGCGAAGGTTCAGCAGCTTGAATTTTTCGTTTTGTTCTTTTGTTTTCATAAATGTTTTCATTAGCTTTCGGAACAGACTCAGAAAAGCTACATTCCTTGTTATAACTAATAATGCAGCATGCGGGAAATGCTGTAGGTGGGTTATTTTCGCATAGAAAACATTCAAAACTTCACGGTGCTTCAGCTTGTCGTTGTTATGATCGATATGTTATTAAAGCCGGTATCGTTACACATCGTAACTTACTCACTGCCCCTGCTGCACGGACTCCCAGCCTCCACCGAAAGGAGACTGCACTTGTTATTGGCAAGGAGCTTGAGGGTATGTCTGGGTTTACCACGGTCAACTTCCAGTGATTTAGTGTATGCGGAGGCTCGAGAGCCACCTTTGGCAGTACTGCGAACTAAAGAAACATCTCGAAATTTATTTAGAATTTTCACGCAACATGACAGTCATTTTTTATCTGGTGCACTAACACAAAGAACGGCAACGAGACTACAGGATACTATATCATCATTTCAAGCAGTAGTACCAGAATTTAAACAATGGAAACCTTCAAAACCACCTTGGACGCTGCCACTTCTCAACGTTATCCGTGAAATAGACGGCATAGAGAAGAAAGCAGCCATGGCACCTCTAGTAGCGGCACAGTTGGTACTTCATCAGCTTCATGTAATGCATAATGAAAAAACGAAGATATATACAGATGGATCATGCACAGAAGAAGCGTCAGCCTGTGCGGTCTTTATACCCGAAATTCAGGAAAAGAAGATGTACAAATTATCGCACAAATCTTCATCGACGACAGCAGAATTGGTGGCTATCTTTGAAGCAGTTAAGCTTATCTGCGAAAATCCAGATCCACGAAAATGGGTGATATGCACTGATAGCAAACCTGCTCTTCAGCTAATCAGAAATGTGAGATCACCTTACAGAAATGGTGAAATACCACAATGTATCGCAGAAACTGTGGAATATGCCTCATCGCAGGGTCACAACATCGTATTCCAATGGATACCCAGCCACATTGGAATAAAGGGAAATGAAGATGCTGATAGTCTCGCGAAGAAAGCATTGAAGGAAGGACGGGATTGCACAATCCCTATATCTGGGACGGATATTCGACATTTTATATCGCAAGGAGCCAACCATTGTTCGATGGAGAAGTGGTTTGAGAGCCCTAAATCAAAGGAAACGGTACTTTATGAAGTTGATCCACACAGAAAATTTTCCATAGCGACAGACCTTCCACGACACCTAGAGACATTGATCCACCGACTTAGATTGGAAGTAGCATACACAAACAGCTTCCTGCACAAGATACATCGATCCAACTCACCGGAATGCCATTGTGGTCATGCAGAAGAAAATGTTCGCCATATTCTTTTGGAGTGCATTAAATACGCGAAAGAAAGAGAAAAATTAAGGAACAAATTAGCAAGTTTGGACAGACGGCCCCTCACAATAAAGAAACTACTTGGACCATGGCCTGAGATGCATCTTCAGAAAAAGGCAATAATCTTCCTGACAGACTTTTTAGTGGAAACCGGACTGGACAAGCGCCTATGACTGACAGCCAGAAATGAGTATTATGTAAAGGGTGGTCATGTATATACTGGCATTAGAGTAGTAAGGTGTGCGTGAAAGTAGTTTATGACTGTGTGAACTGCGTGAAGAAAACTGTGTATTGACAGGATATTTGAACTGGTTTCAGTGTGCTATTAGGTGTTTTTTTCCGTATTGTTAATTTTTGGGTACCGTTCTGTATTATTTTTTTTATTTTTCGCTGCAGAACTCTGTGATATGGAGTAGCCGAGGCAATAGGCTCCTCAACCTCTCCACAGCAAAACAGTTAAAACAACAACAACAACAACAACGATATATAGCAAGACAAGCAGCATGTCATGTTGATTTTCTCGTTATATGAAACCTTATATCTTCTGCGAATTCCTTGAATATTGAATATTGTTACAGCTTCAATGGGCACTTACTGACTTTCTTCTGGTCCGCCAGCAAAATGCAGGTTTCGATGGCTCCACTGTATATATATGCCAGTATAAGAGCTGAAAATTGCAGTTTTTACCACCACTCGACATGGAGTTTCGTTCTGTGCTGCAGGCAAAAGCTCTCGAGGCTGGTAGCTCGGACCTCCTGAACGCCAAGGAATGCTCGAAGCACGGCACACCGTGGTTCCAACTGCTGACTTCTGCACCTGTGTGGGCGCTGACCGCATCTCGGTTCGCTTGTCTCTGGGGGCAGTTCACGGTGCTCACGGGCCTGCCCACCTACCTGTCCGCCGTGCTACGAATGCCACTTGCCAAGGTGACTCAGCGATGTCACATGCCAATAGCCTTCTCGAAAGCCATTCTTAAAAACTAGCAAGAAACAAACGCTGAGCTTCAAAAGACTACTTCAAAACGAGTCTTGCAAAAAATTCAGATTGTACAATTCGGTTATCACTAAAAGATAGAAGCTGAGTTGGGCTAAAAGCTGGCATAATTTTATCGTATTATATTTCAGCAGGCATTTCAGGGAACATATTTGATAATTTGGCGAAATGACGCAAAAGATTTGGCCGGCACAGGGTAGGAGGGTACGACCCATTTACCTTCGACCAGTATGTATATCTTTGTTTTCTTTCCAAACTGGCCGAAAACTAAGATTTTCAGTAATTGTGTGAGAAAAGCGAAAGCAGTTTGAGCCAGTGAGAATTGTCTGGCGTGCCATCAAAACGCCCATTGTTCGTTTCTGTGTGAGCGTGTGTGATATTACTTTCTTCATGTTTCGCCATTTCATTTCTTGCGCAGAGCGGCATGATCAACGCAGCCATGTTCGCTGCCCAGAGCGTGGGCATGCTTGGAGGCGGTCTCCTGAGTGACCGCCTAAGGAGAAAGGGTCACCTCTCGACGACTTTCATAAGGAAGCTCTTCCAGACTGCTGGTGAGGGTTGTTTACCATTCGTCCTTTCAGGAACATAATCCCACGTGCTTGTCACGCTAACAAATGATTACGAGAAAATAGTTGAAATTATTGTAATTTATTGACGCACAAAAACAATCCCAGTAACGCAAGTTAGGCTTGAATCGCCGCTTCAGCGAGCATCGTCGTCGAATGTCAAATTTTTCATCGTGGGACAAGTTCATCTGCGATTTCCAAGTGTACTGTAACCTTACCTGCGTATTTTATTGTAAGCAAACACACACCACACACAGTGCACTAAGCGCTGTGTAGGGTTTGTGTTTCTCGGGTGAATGAGTTAGTAAATAAATAAGTGTTTTTGGGAGTACAAAGGTGTGCTAAATGTCTTACATTGTGACGAATTACCACCTAGTTAAACAACAAATTTCAGTTACTTCCGTAGAATATGAAATTCAAAACCCTCTTAGCTTAGAGCCTAATGTCATAAAAAATCCTGTCAGTGTTGAAGTAATGGTGACTTTCACGAAATTTCGAGCAGAGTAGGCACATATTCACAGAGCTGTGGTTTGGTGACTGCAATTCGCCTCTGAAAAGCGTCTTTTGCAGAAACAAAAAGCAGTGCGTGCGCGACAAGTTCGTGGAATTAGAACTTTAAGTACGGAAATATACCTGAAAGCTTCTTATAGAAGAAGTCACTAATACACTTATCCGTTTCCATTCGACAAGGTTCTGTACTAGTGGACCATCAATTTGTGGTGAATATTTTCCAGCAAACTTATAAGCGGCAGCTTGCTTTGATGGGTAGCTTGGCGTACTATTCGAGCTCATAAAGGCTACGATAGGCCAGTTTCTTATTGCGGGGATGTTTCGCAAAGCCTCGTACTTGCGAGTGCATTTTAGCATAAATAACTGAGGAGCTTACGAGAAGGTGCAGTTCTCGGTCTTTAGGGTGGGCATGAAACAAACGATGCTCGCTTATGGTGCGCAATTAATAGTACTTTTCATAGCTGGTGGTTTTTGAAGGTCGTTAATGTTCCGCTCACCAAACATTTACACGTTGTTCGTCGTGTCAAAGTCGTCGATTGCTTATTGTATGTTTTTAGGACGCTATTAACTCCACGGGTAGTGAGTTTCTATTCTCTTTAGAAGGATCATTTGTCTGAGTATTTCTTCTCAATAAACGTTCCACAGTGAAGGGTTGATCATTACTAGTCTATCTGCAGCATAAAGCTACATTAAACGAATTCACCAGTTATAAAACCAGTATGGAGAAAGCTGTTAACAGTTATGCGAGATTACCTACTTTTATAGAATTCTAACGCCTCTCAGATACACACTATCAATAATAGAAGCCACAGTGCACAGCGTGCATCTCATATAACCAAGTGAACCGAAACTGTAGTTGAACTTCCAACACATAGACATTAAAATGCATGTTATACTGATGTCACTCTGGAGGTGCTTGTTGGCATATGGCAGCCGTGGAGGTGCGACATAAGTTAAGTCTTTGCATTTACGTCTACTAACATGCGCACAGAGGTGATCGATATTAATTATTTTTAATATTGCTACATGCATGCATATTGATATTCTAGGGGGTGACGCGCGTGTGTGCCTGACGAGGAAGACGAATGGTTGTCTCCGCTCGATCGCTGGTGAACCGGGCACGCTATTACCACTGGTTTTAAATACATCAAATCCCCAGCCTCGTCGATACGGCGTCTCTTCTTTTCCGTCACATATTTGGTGGAGGTGGAACGTTCGCCGTCTTCACCACGAAGCTTCGCAGTGGCCGCACCATTCAGTCTCTGGCCATGGCTACCAATGACAACAACGCGTCAGCGTTTCCATCTGTAGCTCCAGTCACTACATACCTGACGATACCCACCCCCCGTGATTCCGGTACGTTCTCCGCACAGCCTGGGCATGACGTTGACTACTGGCTCCGTATGTACGAGCGTGTTAGCCAGGCACACCGATGGGACCCTACCACGATGCTCGCCTACGTAATATTTTACTTGCACGGCACCCCACATGTCTGGCTCGACGCCCATGAGACCGAGATCACCAGCTGGGATATCTTCAAGGAGTGACTACGCGACATCTTTGGGGACCCGTGCGGTCGCCAAATAAAAGCGCGAAAAGAACTCGCCACTCGTGTGCAGTCCTCAACTGAGTCGTATGCCTCGTACATACAGGACGTGCTCGCGTTGTGCCGGAAAGTGGACAAGCAAATGACAGAGTGACAAGGTGGGTCACATACTAAAGGGCATCGCGGACGACGCCTTCAACTTGCTCTTGTATACCGACGTCACGACCGTAGATATGATTATCAAGGAATGCCGCCGCTTCGAAATTGCCAAAATCCGCCATGTGCTGCCTCAATTTGCACGGCTACCAAGCACGCCTGCTACATCAACCTGCACCAATCTCGGTGCCGCACCACCCATGCAGGACAGCGTGACAGGTATAGTTCAACGGGAGCTTGAGGCGTCAAGTCCGGCACTATTTCGTCCACTTCCACTCGACCATGGCGCGACACAAACGCCTCCGGCGTTCTCCGTTATTTAAGCCGTCAGGAAGCAGGAAATTGCAAAGCTCGGTTTTCCTGTGGCCTGCTCTGTCTCCCAACCCGTCTCCAGACCAATGACAATAAATGCACCACGCTATGACTCATATTTTCTTCCGCGATCCCGCAATCCGACGGAATGGAGAACTGCAGACGAAAAACCGATCTGATTCCGCTGCCACCGAGTTGGCCATATCTCCCGCTGATGCCGCAGCACTTGGACGCCCTCCAACTGAAGCCTATTTTCCTCTTCTCGCCTATACGAGGACTCCCGTCGGTATTCGCCCAGTCGTCTGTACCCTTGTTCCGACGTCCCTCACAGCCGCTCCACCGCTCGTTCGCCGTCACCTCAATGCCACCGTTCTTCGTCGCCCCAACCACGCCGCTATCAGTCGCCGGTCAACTATGGATCCTCTCGGACGAAAAACTAGACAATGCAGCTACGGGAGGTAGTGCCGCATCAATTGCGACTGATCCGAATCCTCCGTTAAAGCTCCCCACTAATACGAACTTGATTAAGGTGTATGTGGACGGTATTTTTTGACGATGTTAGTTGATACCGGAGCTCAAGTGTCCATAACGAGTGCTCATCTGTGTCACCTACTCAAAAACGTCCTCACGCCTGCAGCGACTAAAGCCCTCCGTGTCGCCTATGGTGGAACTGTGGCCATCACTGGAATGTGTACCACTCGTGTTAGCATTGCCGGCCACCATGTCCCTGTTTTGTTTACGGCGCTTGAAAGTTGCCCTTATGACATAATCTTTGGCATGGACTTTCTATCGACGCATTCTGCCCTGATCAATTGTGTGCCGCCGGTACTCTGTGCCTAGAACTTCTTCTTCTCCCGGATTCTCATCCTGAACTCCCGAACACTCTGTGCACCCCTTACTTTTTCCGGATACCACCTAAAGTTCTCACATTCGTTGAATTGCAAACACCCTCTCTTGTGCTCGACGGTGATTATATCGTGACGCCGATTCCTGATGTTCTCCTGGTGCGTGACATTACTGTCTCACACCCCGTCGTAACCAAGGCCTCTAACCGAACATATTTACTTGTTATCAATTTCGGTTTCATGAAACAACTGCTATCCCAAAGAATTTCGGTCGGCACTCTGAGACCATTAATTGCCGACCACGTCACCTGTTTTACGGCAGACGTATGTCCCGGTCACCCACGTCACTCGTAGGATGCCACGTGCTTCGATGTGACCTTTCGCTCCATGATCGCCCCGGACCTCAAACCTGAGAAGTAAGCCACGCTATGTCCCATTCTGGCTTCATACCACGACATATTCGACATCGACAGCCGTCCACTCGGCCAGACTTCACTTGTCAAGCACCGCATTAACACAGGTGAGTCTCATCCCATTCATCGGTGACCACACTGGGTGTCTGCCACCGAGCGTAAAGTATTTTAACAAGAAGTCACCAAGATGCAAGCCAAAGGAATTATTGAAACCTCTTCGAGCTATTGGGCGTCCCCTGTTGTGCTCCTTAAAAATAAAGATAGCAAGTGGCGCTTCTGCGTGAATTACCGCCATCTGAATAGAATCACGAAACACGACGTTTACCTTTTACCCCGCATCAATGACGCTACCGATTGTCTCCATGGATCCCGATGCTTTTCTTCAATAGACCTACTATTCGGCTACTGGCAGATTGCTGTCGACGAAAAAGACCAAGAGAAGGCTGCGTTTGTAACTCCAGATGGCCTATGCCATGGTTCAAGGCTATGCCGTTTGGGCTATGCAACGCCCCAGCCACGTTCGAGCGTATGATGGACTCTCTGCTACAAGGGTTCAAATGGTCAACATGTCTGTTATCTTGACGATGTTGTTGTACATTCCCCAACATTTGAGACCAACCTTCAGCGTTTTTCAGCAATTCTCGACATATTCCACACTGCAGGCCTTAAATTAAACTCATCGAAGTGCCACTTTGGACGCCGGCAAATTACAGTGTTTAGCCACCTTGCCGACGCCTTTGGTGTGCAGCTGGACCCCGAGGAAATTCGAGCAGTCACCAGTTTTCTTGTACCCCTCTTAGTGAAAGACGTTCGGAGTTTTGTAGGACTTTGTTCCTCTTTTAGAAGATTTGTGAAAGATTTCGCAACCATCGCTGGACCCCTCACTGAGCTTCTGAAGAAAGACGTCATATTTACGTGGGGTACTCACCAAACTGCTGCTTTTTCTCACTTAATGACGCAACAACGACCCCACCTATATTCACTTTGACCCATCCACTCCGACAGAAGTTCGAACCAATGCTAGTGGTCATGGAATCGAAGCCATCCTAGCCCAACGCCAACGGGGACGTGACCAAGTTGTCGCCTACACGAGCTGCTGAGCGCAACTTTTTTATTACAGGGCGTGAATGTCTTGCTCTAGTTTGGGCAGTCATGAAGTTCCACCCACATTTATATGGCACAAATTTATCTGTAATAACTGAC